AAACCGCCGGTGTTCACTCCAACACGCCGGTTTCCGCCCACTGTGAATGACGAACAGGTGGCGTCTCAATTAGCAGTGTCTTTCGGTCAGCATTTCGATGACTTTGACGCGGATACACCGAGAACAAATGTTAGCGAAGACTTTTCTACGCTGGGCACTTGTCGAGGTATTCCATGCTGCTTTTGGTTCATTGGGGGTATTGATGCAGAACGTTGGGATAAGGCAATGAGAGAAGATAATCACACGGATGAGATCCCGGGGAACCACTCGGCCCTTTTTGCACCTGTTATACAGCCGACTATGAGAGCTGGAGTGGATGCTCTTTGTCTTGCAGCTTTGACGTTTTTGAGAAAATAGCTTTCATCGCCTTACGACACCTTAGTGGCTCACTGTGTATCTTTGACCAGAATAGGTGGTATATGATATTTGTAAGATTGGAATTCGTATCATTCTGACTAGAGTCTGGGCTCATGGCATGAGACGGATCCCCTTGACTAAATAATACATCTGCTGATCTGAGTTCCGAAAGTTATCATTAGTAACAACCAGTAGTGCTTGTTCTGACTACCCTTTCAAATTGAAACATCTCCCGAAAGCCGTGGCCCGACCCCTTCGGAAAACTCAGATTCGACGACAATCCATCTTGGATTCCTGTTCGTTCTTGACTGCATCGATCTGAGTCTGTGCAGAAGATGATAACCGTCGTAAATAGCACGTTGGTGAAGACATCGACTCGGCTCCCCTGTAGTCGTAGAGTTTCATCGTCCCTTAGTAGCAGAGCTTATGACAATAAAAGCTTCAGCGGCAAGAACTCTCTGCTGGTCACGTTCTTGTAAACACTCCCGCTATTCAGCTGGTTCTTGTAAACACACGTACTATCCAGTAAGTTCCTGTAAGCAAATAGTCAGCTCCCAAGACTAACTCTTCATGTAACTCATCCCTCAACTGCGGACCACAGAGCGGTATTCAGAATGCGGGTGACATCGGTCGAGCCATCTGGACGGAGGGCGCCATCTGTTCCACCAGACTGTTTCAGATCTTCCCAGTCTTGGATTTTACGCTCGATGTACTCCGCCAGACCAGAAGCATGGAGGATCTCAGCCACGCGGTAGTGGCAGTCCAGATACGCGGGATCTGGCAGGGACGCCCTCGACGGAGGCATAGTAATGATGCCATTCCTCTTCGGTAAGCACCAACACACAGGTCATTCCGCAACAGCTGGCCACAGAGCGGTGTTCAAAGTTTTGGTTATGTTGGTAGAACCGTCGGGACGAAGACAGCCATCGGTTTCACCATACCTTTGCATGTCCCTCCAGTCTTGAATTTTGTCGTAGATGTGCCCTACCAGATCCGCGGCGTGAATTATCTCAGCCACCCGATAATGGCAGTCTAAAAACACTGGATCTGGCAGGGGAAGATTGTCCACGCCTTCACTGCATCTAAATTTGACCTTGCAATTATTAGGCAGCAAACGCTGAACGTTAGTTGTTACATCAGGATAAGTCTTGACTGCATAAACATCCTGCCCTTCCTTTACAAAAAAGAAAGAATGTGTCAGCAGAATGATTAGAATAAATGAGTACATAAGTCAGACTTACTGTCTTGACAAAGGCGATATGAAAACATCTAAAGGATTTGTGCAGGGAATCGAGCAACATCATCCCGTTCGAGGGGGTCCTCAATCTAGTACGACATACCCTGGGGAAGCATTTATAAAACACTTCCCACCGCTTTGAGAATTCGTACGAGTCAGTAAGAGACAACACCATCGGATTTCTACGAATAATACCTTGCTTCCCGCCCAGGACGTGTAGCTGCAGGGTATGATATTGGCGCACTCCACGAAGTCGTGGAGCTCATCAGCTGGCAGATATCCATTCTGCTTCCATTTCTTGGTATCTAGATGGCCAGTGACACAACACCGATAGCCGTCTCGGCGCGCACACTCGTCCCGGAAATCGCTATCCCGGACCTCTGGTTGGATGAGCGTCCCTGTGAACACCTCCAGGTTGGGCTCCCTGAAGTCAAAGGGTGATTCAGGTTCCGAGGGTATAGGACTCTCCGCCATCACTAGATTGATCAGCATGCGTACTTGGCGATTACTTTCTCTCGCTTACTTGGATAGAGAAGATAGGCGAGAAGATCGTGAAACACCTGCCACAACTTTTGGTCATCGTTTCCAGCGTTGACGATGTCTCTGGCCACTGAAGTTTGACCTCCCGGTGGTAACCACTCGAGAAAGGCCTTCAGGGAAGCACGGAGATACTCTTCATGTGGTCTCCCTCCATTCACATAACGCTCGACCGTCGCCCTCGCGGTGTCTATCAAATTGTTGAATGTCTCGGGCCGTTCCGGCATGCCATTCACCGGCTGCTGACGATTGGCCTTGGAGGCGGACCGCTGCCGGGCCCAAGCGGCCTCCCTAGCGTCGATCTCGGGACGCTGCTTAGCAAGTCGGCGGGACCTACGGGGGGAGATAGGGCGACTTTGCGGGCCACGTTTCGAACTAGCCAGAGACATTCCCGAATCTGAAGGTCTGTGGATGTGGAGTACACTTAAATCAACAAATTAGCTGAAGTATTGAATTTCAGGAAGATCTGGGTGTTGCATTAGCAGGATTCAATTGAAGAACGTGGCATGTCATCATGGGTGTTACCAGGGTTCAGGCACAAGTATGAACTGGGTCTATGGGCTGTATTAGCAGACTAAGGGCTATATTTTAGGGCTTTGAAGTCATCACATCAGAGGCTGCAGTCTACATAGCATGATATGACAATGACTTCATAAAACAGTATGCTATATGAAACACATGCAGAAAAATGAATGAAAGCTATTCGTCCATGTTCTTGCAGTCCTCCCTGATCAGGCAGTTCGAAAGCTGTCTGTTGCCAGCCAAGACTGCCATAGACATCACTGTTGGGGGATGACAGCCATCACAGGAGGACGGCAGTCACAGAAGGATAGTGGTCACAGCAGGATGGTCGTCAGCAGAGCACACTCGTCCTGATTCAACAGTGGCTGATCCTGTAATAAGCCATTGCTCCTTTGTTCTCCCAGCTGTCCAAGGCTAGCCACAGAGAGTCTCTTTGATCACAACTCTAGACATGCTGTGGATTTATAGGCGACTTGCGAGTGCTGATCCGGATCCAACATGAGGCGCAGGATGATGATTGTAAAAGATCGACAAAGTACTATGATACATCACCTGCAGTAGCATTGGGCTGGTATCAATCTATAAACTCAGTTTCCCATCCATAGACTATTTAATTGGTCTTGATAGTCTGTACATGGGCCTATTGTTCATCTTTCAGCTCACCACCAGATAGTTGTGTAATAGCGAATGTCATCATGGGAACCTTTCACACCTTCCTGTAAGGACTATCACTTGCAATTCTATGCAGTATTGTTAGCAGGCCCTTATTGTAGGCTTTCTAATCTACTCCCGCACGGCATCTGAAGCACTGCGACATCCATATTTGACGTTCTCTTGAAACTTCGGAATATATGTGACGGCAGTTCATTGATATACAACCTAGTTTGGTCGGATTTCTCTATCCTAAAGTTGTTCTTAAGTAGACAGGAACCCACTAGCTCAGAGCCGGTTCCCTCTGCCTCCTTGTCTCAAGAGTCAGCGACTCTTCGCTCCCCCCACTCAAGGAATCCTCCTCCCTTACGCCGACACCAGCAAACTTCTTCTGCCCCAACGGCTGCAAGCACAACTGGCTCGAGTTGTCTCCCAGACGGTGAAATCCGTCACCGGAAGCGGAGGGGTCGGGTTTGGGTCCCGCAGACGGGGCGGAGGACTTGGGGCCTGTTCCGTTGGGCGTGTAGACCGAGCGACCGAGTAGCGGTCGCATCATCGGGACTGAAGCAAGGATGACGGCGAGACAAGGTTCCAGACCGCTGAAGATATTGGCGCGGGGGATCGTGTAGGTGATGTCGGTAAAGTCCATTGAGGAGAGCACGGAGATGCGGAGGGCGCTGATGACGCAGGTGCTGGGTTGGTCAGTATCTGAACAGGAGAAATGAAACGACACAGTGGGATTGAGGGGCTTACACTACTCCCAATCCAAAAACGGTAATCAGGGTCACCTTCTTGTACGTTGCCATTTGCAGGCGGTACAGCGACGGCATCGGCGTCACCAGCACGGCCACGTCAGTAACTAGATTGATCACCCCCGTCACCGTGAACGAGGTGACCTGGTCTCCGCACGATCCGCCAGGAATGGTCTGGTCCCAGTTAAAGGCGAAGGGCCGGCAGATGAGACACCCGGCCAGGATTGTCGCGATGGCCCAAGCGACAATGACGCCGATGGTGACCCAGGCGATCCGTACGACCCCTACGACGGGGAAGATGCGAAGATACAGCAGCAGGATGGAGATTTTGGTGCAGCTGAGACTCAGCACCCATGTGAACTGCAGCGGGATGATCAGCTGGAACAGTTTGGTGACGGGCTCCATCCCGTAAAGGGCCACAATGGACGAGACATGGTCGAAGCCGATGCCGGCCTGGAATACTCCTGTGATACTGATTGACTGGAGACCGACGGCGAAGAACTAAGACAGATGTATAAGTCATTGTATATGATTAAGAAGGGATCTGGCTTACACAGGCGGCAATCAGGAAGTAATCACTCGACGTCCATGGCTTATGCGCAATATGATGGGCCAACAAGCGCAAGGACACTGCGACAACGGCCAGTATCGAGAAAGTGAGGGCCACAGCAAGCACAGCCCTTTGGTCCCGGGTCTGGATAGGAAAGATGACCGTCATCTCTTAAGCGACAGGCTGCGAGGTACTGGCAGACGTGGAGAGAGGTGGACTCTTCATGTCCTCGTCAGGGAATGTGCAGTATTAAATGCAGAAACATTGCAGGGACTAGAGATAGGATATTACTTACCAGGGGGCCAGGCCCACTTTCCGTAATTTTGGCGTTGCTTCAGCCTTGTTGTGACATTTACCGTTGACGGGTGCATAAGACAGTACACTATACACTCTCTACATACTAACCGCTAGTCCTAGAAACTTGCAGTATGTTGTGTCATGACTCGAGCAATCCGACAATTACAACAACATATCACAATTGCCAATTGAATTTATGAGACATCTCCTGAAAACAATGGGAATATGCAACTTCACAAGAATAGTGCCCTGTTTCTGCGGACCCCAAATGCTCGGCGCCGATCCGTCATGCCCTAGTCCTATGACTTATGCTTGGCCTGCTACACGTCGTGGAAATAACCTCTCCACATTGGTGGATCAATCTGTCTTTCTCTTTAGCGACTTACGAGGGGTGAGATCGGCAGAGTCAGTCGAGTCTCCAAGAGGATAATGCCGGCGAAATACCGGTGAAACGGTTGGCGGCATTGCAGTGTAGACTTAACTAAGTACTAGATCAAGGACTAGTCGCATGCCTAAGTCGAGCTCTCCAACCACTCGACTAAACAAGGCGTCTAGACGACCATTTAGCCTAGAGAATAGTAATATGATTAATAACGTCTCCAACAAGCTCCTCCCCGGCCAACTGCCGAAACTCTGCAATTGACATTGATAGCCCACTGCCGTTCTCCTCCACAACACATCTCAACATCTGTTGACAACATCCATTGACCTCAATATGGCTGCCACTTCTGCTTTGGTTGTCATTGTCATAGGACTGTTGACAGTGGTGTATATCAGCAGAAAGAATGGCAAGAAGACGGACAAACTGCTTAAACTCCCTCTCATCGGCGACCTCCATAGCTCGCCTATTGAAAAGCCCCTGGCGAACTGGGACTCCTGGGCACGGCAGAATGGCCCGATAGCCGTTCCTAAACTGTTTGGGATTATCCCGATTGTTGTGCTCAACTCGTACGAGGCCGCGACGGAGTTGTTCAGCCGCCGCAGCCAGTGGTACAGCAACCGGCCGCCCTCGGTCAGCATGGAGATGATCACCGGCGCTGCGCCAGGCCAGTCTCGCTTCACGCTGATGCACGACTATGACGACCATCTCAAGCTGCACCACCGTATCCTCTCTCCCAGTCTCGGCGCGCTCGCCGCCCCCAAGTACCAGCCGCTGATGGAACTCGAAGCCAAACAGCTGCTGCACGACCTAGTCAACGCCCTGCGGCACTCTCCAGACGGCAGTACCATCAGCACCGACGCCATCTACCCGCTGCTGGAACGTACCCAGTCCAGCGTCATCCTGGCACTGCACTACGGCCTGCGCATCCCGCACCCCGACGAAAACATCCTCCACGAAATCATCGACATCCAAGTCCAAGTCACCCACCTCGCCGCTAACCCGGCCCTACCCGATCTCATCCCACCCCTACGGCACCTCCCCGCCGTGCTCTCCCCCTGGAAACGCGCAGCAGACCGCCTCTACGCCGCCCAGGTCGACCTCTACATGCGCCTCTTCCACCACGGAAGAGACGCCGCGGGCTGGAACGCCACGAAGCAGGCCCTCTCCACCGCAGCCAAGTACGCCCCTGCCTCCTCGTCCTCTCCAGCTCAACCCCAAGTCCCCGACCTCGACCTCGCATTCACCCTCGCCACCTCCATCCAAGGCGGGATGGAGACCTCCCCGCGCCAGCTTCTCTGGCTCTTCATCGCAGCCCTGCACAACCCGTCCTTCGTGGCGCGCGCGCACGCCATCCTCGACGAGGTCGTCGGCCGGGACCGCCTCCCGCAGTTCTCGGACCGGGCCCAGCTCGCATTCATCGACGCCGTCGCGCACGAGCTATTCCGCTGGCGGCCGATCGCGCCAGGGTCTATCCCGCGGCGCGCAGACCGGGACGACGAGTTCCAGGGTGTGAAGATCAACAAGGGGGTGACTGTCATGGCGAATGCGTGGGGGATCGGGCGCGACGAGCAGGTGTTTGACCCTGCGCTTGGGGATCTGCAGGAGTTTGTTCCGGAGAGGTGGTTGCGGGAGGGTGATGCCGGGCAGGAAAGATTGCGGAGTGACCTGCCGCTGCCGGTGTTTGGGCAGGGAAGGCGGATCTGTCAGGGGAGGAGGGTCGCGATTGATGGGACGTTCATGCAGGTTGCTAGTTTGCTTTGGGCGTTTGACGTTGAGATGGTGGATGGGGCGGGGCCGGTGGATCCGTGGGAGATGGTTGTCGTGGGATTCATGACTATGCCGAGGGAACGGAGGTTCAAGCTCAAGCCTAGAGGGGATTGGGTGTTGGATGTGATCAAAAAAGAGTGGGAGACGGCGGAGAAGAGTCTGGATAAGGTCATGGGCATGGCTGATATTGAGTGATCACGTCAGGTATACAGGACAATCAATGGACAGACAAAAGTCACATCGATGATCTACTGCTTACGAACATACTGCTTGACCGTCCTCACAGAAGCTGAGATCATCCAAGCTTGCTCACGCGTAGCGCCGTCCTGTACGCATCATCACCCCGGCCGTCTGATACTCGGCAACCCTCTGCTCGAAAATTTTGTCTTCCCATTCAAGTATGCTATTGCTATTAGGGTTGAAATCTGCCACCTTAAGAGGAGGCTTTATACAACGACCGAGCGCCATTATATACCATGACTGACAGATGACCCTTCAATGCGTCGCTATCCGAAGAAAGCATACTATAGCTTACAATAGTCTATGTCACACAACCACGGGACATCTTGAATGTCAGTGGATCAACAATGATTACGGTCTATACAAAGAAAAAGTCTTCCAACGCTCTGGTGAATCGATCGGGGTCCTGCAGCGGTGCGAAATGGCTGACGTTCTTCAGAATGACCAAGCTGCTGCCCGGGATGGCGGCGTGCAGCTTAGCCGGGACATCCAGATTGACCGCTTCGTCGTATTGAGCGCCCGCAATCCTGACTCTGGAGCCGTCGATGGTGCGCAGCTGGGCCTTGGTGAATTGCGGCAGGGTAGCCTCTAGAGTCGCCACCTTGGTCGCGAATGAGGTGAAGTTGGCCTGGGGCTGGAGTTGGCTGTATTCCTTCGCGCAGCGAGTCACGAACTCGGAATAGATGTCCGTATTCGGGAAATTTGGGTTGGAATCAGAGGGGACCATGAAAGCACCGAAGAGGAATGCCTTCTCGATCGTGGGGGATATAGTGCGGTTCAGCAGGGCGGAGATGGTGGTTGCGCCGCCATCGGACCAGCCGACTACATTGTACTTGGAGACACCCACGGCCTTTAGCTGCTCGTAGATGTTGTTGGCAAAGAGGTCGAATGTGAAGACGTCGTCTTCCTTGAACGTGCTGCGGCCGTGGCCGCGGCGGTCGAGGGCGATTACATAGTGACCCTTCGCGATCAGTCGGCTCAGGACTGCACCGAAGTAGGCCGAGTAGCCTAGGCCGCCGTGATCAAAGACCAAAGGTGTTTTGCGGCCATCTTCATTGTACTTTTGGATCCATAGCTCAACGCCGTCCACGGGGACTCTGTGCTTGCTGATTGGGGAGGGCAGGGGTGGTGTTGACGGCAGAGTGAGCCAAACAGGAGTGGTAACCCGTTCAGCAATAGCTAGACCTTGAGCTATTCCGCTGAGGAGAATTGAGGCGAGCAAAGCAGCTTTAACCATATTGGAAGGATATCAGGCTAGAGAGATGAGGTAGTTGTGCTGGAGTAGAGGAGGTGAGGAGGTGAGACTGTGAGAGTGATGAATGGCCATAACGCTGCCAGACGCATCTCCATGGCTTAATATACCTTTCTTTCTTCACGGAGCGCAGCGACTCATTACTATAATAGACTTTGTGCTGAATCCTTCGAAAGGTCCAGAGTACGGAGGACTCTGTACAGGAACCATCCGGGTCGGTCCAGGACTGCTCCGGGAGCAATCCGGACATGCACTGTCTCACTCTACACTAATCATAATCCAGCTCCCACGGTGAGTACAAACGGCGCTATTTCGGACTGAATCACTGAATGCGGAAATGGGAAGTTGCAAATATCCGAAGAAAGACCGTTCAATAGCTTTGTAGGAAATCACCTCAGGCATCGAGGCAGGAATCAATTACATTTCCTAAAACGCGAGTCGCGTCGCGCGTCCATCACGTGATCCTATGTCCGCATCCATTCCTTGCCACTTTTGGACTAGTGCAGCCATCAGCTTCACATCATCAAAACAAAAGACCAACAATAGGGAAGTAAAGGTGGTGATTGGCAATCACAAGGGGCGATCAGTAATCAGTCTGGGTTCGATAGTCTTGTCTAGCCCTTTTTCCTTTGTGAGGCTACAGTCTGCTAATTATCCGACAGCAATTGAGTTGCCCAGTCCAGCGCAGTCTGATCCCCAGGTGAATAAACGGAGACGAGCAAAATGGTCAGTTCCAATTGACGAACCTCCAGAAGTATCATGACCAGACTGACGTTTCCTAGCGCTCATCCTTCCGCCGTCTAGCTGCAGATCACGCTGCATTGCACGAGGAGCTCCCTCCAAACTACCTTTTCCCGACAGAAGACTCATCCGATGATCTGACCCAACTCACCACCCTGCTGGCCGGTCCGCAGGGCACACCCTACTCCCAGGGGCTGTGGCGATTACACTTGAAAATGCCAGAGGATTACCCTAAGAGTCCGCCCAAGGCGACATTCAAGACCCGAATATGGCATCCAAACGTGGAGGAGTCGACCGGCGCCGTGTGCGTGGATACACTAAAGAGGGATTGGAAGTCGACGTTGACGTTGAAGGACGTCTTAGTCGTGCGTGCACCCTATCTTCAAATCAAATAAAGTAGCGACTAACTTGTCCAGACCATCTCCTGCCTCCTCATCTACCCTAACCCCGACTCCGCGCTGAATTCCACCGCCGGCGCTCTCCTTCAAGAAGACTACGATGCGTTCGCGCGTCAGGCGAAGCTCATGACATCGATCCACGCCCCTGTACCACCAGACCTCAAAACCGCAGTTGTCGAAGCGAAATCGAGGGGCGAGGAGGCCGGAACGCTCATTCCAGAGCACGAGGGCACCCGCAGTCTGCGATCACGCACAGGAACACGAGTCCAGTCCTTGACGATGAAAACGAAGAAGCCCAGTGTGACACCGCAGCCATCGGACCAAACCGACGCCGACCCTCACAACAACCACCCAGAATCAGACGATGACAGCGACACCACCCGCCCCTCCACCTCCAAAGAAAACGACCCCTCTCTCTCCCCCTGCCCCGTGAAACTCGCCCTTCCCAGCCCCCGCAAGAATGCTCACGGGAAAAGACCCCTCTCCGACCTTACCACATCCCTAGACCCAGAGCCGGACTCACTCATGGAACCCGATTTCGCACCCTCACGAACAACAGACAAGCCAACCATGACCATGACCACCTCAGAAAAGAACATCGCCGCCAACCACACCCCGCACCGCGACTCCTCCCCACAGCCGCAACCGCAACGAAAATCCCCCAAGCTCTCCCACCTCGACAAGGGCGTCAACGCCTCAGCCCGGATCCGCGACGACGTGATCATCATCTTCGAAGACGCCTCGGATCCTTCCGACGTGCAGTCCCATCACAGCAACGACAGCAAGGAGAATCGTGCTGCGCTCCATGCCTCCAAGGGGATGGGCCCGTCCGCGCGGAAGAGTCCGCACTACCCCTCGTCTCTTCTCGCCCCTTCCCCAGCGATTACTTGTCCGTCGGGATCAAAGTCCAGAGCGGTGTCTGGTTCGCGGAAGGTCTCGTCCTCGAGCATGAAGGCAAAGCCGCGCATTGGGATCCGCAGGTTATAGAGCCCGGCTGTATGGATTTTTTCTGGTTACTTTTGTCTATACCACTGCGTGCTTCTGTGCGTCTTTGGGCTTTTCTGGTCTGGCTTGGCGTTGGAAAGGGCATATGCGACGCATTGGGACATGGTGGTTGTCATCTCTGCTAGGGAGGAACTGCTAACGTTGATGCGGTTGGCGATCTTCATCTTTATATCTCGTTATCAGCGACGGCTCGCATAGGATAGTATAGCATCGTGCTACTGGATTCAGGATGACAATTTAGTGCATTATAGCCATCGTATGATAATGATAGCCAGTGGGCAAGTTAACTACTAGAGCCTTCCCAGCGTCTGTGGGCAGCAAGCCAATCAAAGCCATCCGAAACCGCCAATCAAATAAGCTATGCAACTATTTAACATTGAAAACGTAGACAATTTCCCGCCCAGGTTTCACCTGCGGCCAGCTCTTCAAAGATGCTGTCGCGTAACTACCACGGGTACGCTTTGATTCACTCATTCGGATCACCTCAAAACACTTCTTATCTTTCCCTAGTTGCCACCCACAAACCATTTTGCAATCGACATCGGTTCGAAACAAGTTGCCATGTAACCGCGCTGTGAAATAGTATGCAAACAGCTCCGGTAGACAGGCGACTGATGGAATATTGCATACCCATACACGAATCGATATTACAGCCATAAAGACCTGAAGTATAAACCTACAAGCATATTCGAGTACCCGAGTAAGTGACCTAAAAATCTCTTCGCCTTTACAAGGCATATGGGTTGACTGAGCGAATAGTGAGACAACTACAAGACGGTGTTAGTAAGCATCTGAAATGATAGAAAGCCACTGAGGATAACTTACGGAGGGCTCTTGGTCAAGTCAGTCTTGAGAATGATGGGAACCCGGGTCATCTCGGTCACATCCTGAATGTACTCTCCGTCCTCCTCGCGGAGCTTGAACAGTTTGAGGTATTTCTCCTTGTTCGTCAACTTGGCTTCCGGCACGTCATTGTTGCTGCTTGGCATCTTTGGATCGGACCGAGTACGGTGAGGAGTCTGCTGAAGATGGCCATTACGTGTCGGTGAAGGTGGCATGCTCTGGGTTGTGCGGTCAGCAGCCGAGTTCAAAGAGACGCCGGCAGCCATCTCGGTGACCTCGGAGATATCGTCGTCATCGTCGAAGAGAGCATCGACATCATCGGCAGACATGGTTCCAGTCTCAGTCTGCTTGCGGATCGCCTCATCACGTTCGCGCGCACGCTCTCTTGCAGCCTCTGCTTCGCGAGCCGCGGCCGCAGCCTGAGCAGCGCGAGAGTTGGCAGGTCTAGGCCGTTCGTCCTCTGGAATGTAGGCAGAAGACGGAACGCCCTTCTCCCAGTAGAGCTCCAGAACACGGGTCTCCTTGCGGTACTCGGCCTTCTTCAGAGGTAGTTGATCACAGTGGACACGCTTCTCGAAACCAAACTCGGGAATGAGGACATCGAAGGCCGACTCGTAGACACAGAGAACGATTCCCTCACTGATCAAGTCGCCACCGATCTCCTGTCTCTTCTTGTCCATACTACGGCAAGCCTCGATATGGACGCTCTGCTCCTGTGCATTATGCGCCGAATCCTTCTTAGTATTGCACAGATCCGCCGTCTTGCTCAGAGACTCCACGTCATCTGAGAACTCAATTGCACCATTCGACAAGACGGCCTCGAGCTGACGGTGAACGATAATGTCCGCATAGCGACGGGACGGGTTGGTAAAATGAGTATAGACGGGTAGGTTGAGGGTGTAGTGATGGCGCTGCTCATCCTGTACAGTGCTAGCCACATAGTATTTCGCACGCTGCATAGCCTTCAACAAAACAGTTTCCATACCCTAATCCCAGTCAGTATGTCAGCGGAAGAAAGTAATGTCCTTAGCAAAGTTGAACACGAACCTTCCGCAGGTCATCATCCTGTACTCTGCAAAGGCTGCTCTGCAGAGTGCCGCTGCTCGAAGGGTCAAAGTCATAGCCGAGGCGGTTCATCCTGTCAATGAAGGAATGAAGGCGGCGTGAGTTCGGCGATGGTTGACGGCGAAGGAAAGCCTTATCGGGCATAGCAGAAACCAATTTGCGGGCGACGAAGAAGTTTGCCTTGTGTCTTAATTCCTCCACCAGCTCGCGTGCATCAGTAGAATCGAATATGTTCCTTTCTACAGGCACATTCTCATCATCCAGCTGATGTAGAAGGCGCAGAGGTGGCGGGTTCGAGACACGGTTGCCAAACCTAGCTTCTCGAAACTTGTGCGTGATGGCCTATAACCCGCATTACATTAGTGCTCAGTCCTGGAGGAGAAAATGAGGATAGAGGGTTACCGACATTCAGGGTCTGAATGGTGTTGGCGGAGATTCCGGCCACGGATACATTGGATTCCCCCTTGATCGCAAAGTTCACCTCGTCATAACTCAATCTGCCTGCACTCTTGACGATACTCTTGCCGATCCAAACATCTTCGTCCACAGCGCCGGTTTCTGGATTAGCAGTAAATACAACGCTGACCGTAAGGCGATCCTGTTCAGGAAGGAGAGAGCAGAGCTCCGTCGAGACTCGCCGAGGCAGCATATTGACCAGTCGATCCATGAGGTAGACCGCCGTGCCTCGCTTCTTTGCTTCCCGGTCAACCAGAGAGTTCGCCTTCACAAAGTGGGCGATATCAGAAACGTGGATACCAATTTCAACCTTGCCATCGGCCAGAGGCTTGATGTGATAGGCATTATCCAGCTCCATAGCTCCGCTTGGATCGATGGTGAATGTGGTTTCCGAACGGAAATCCCGACGGGACTCAAGAAGCGCATCGCCTCCGCTGGCGACGGACCAGTCCTCCCAGCCGATGCTCTTGAGCACGGCATCTGAGAACTCGTCGGCACCAAAGTTGTTGTCCCGGAGAAGAGCATCTGTTTCCACCTTCAAATCGCCCATTTCACCGAGCTGTTCCACGAGAGTACCAAAGGGATGAAGGGATGTGATTGGCCATCTCTTAATGCAAGCGACAAAGATACGGTTGGCATATTCCTGATGCTTCTCCACGAAATCGCGCGGTGCCTGCTCGGTAGGGATAGCGATGAGAGGAACACGCTTGTCGGTGGGCTTGAACCACACGATCTTCGGCTTTTCCTGTTGACGATCGTGCTGCTGACGGCCGTGACCGCCATCTCTGGCCTGCCGTTCGGCTTCCTGCTTCTCCTTCGTAGCCTGGCTGCTAGGCCGAAGGAGCCCCAAAGTTCCCGAGAACATTTGACCGGCAATACGCTCAATCACAGCAACGATGTGACCCGCGTAAAGAGGCTTCTGTTCGTCACTGATCTCATCTTCCTCGACGAGAAGGAGGCTCTGGCCCTCAACTTCAACGTCGTCATTCTTCTTCTGTGTCGGTCGTTGGCGCAGACTTCCACGACGCCGGATGCTGCCATCGGGTCCAATTTCCTGGCGATCGCCATTGGCGCCGGAGTCCGACCTCGATAATTTATCCGTTCCTGCAGTGCTGCCGGAGCGAGCATCTGTGATATCTTTGCGTTTCTTTTTCTCCTCCTTTTCTTTCTTCTGAGACCACACCTCGTCCACGTCCAAGAGTTCAACGGCAACAAAATCACCCTCGAGGGCACGGTTCCGGTCTTTGCTTCCACAGATGAAGATGTCGGCGTCCAGATCCGGAGTGGTCACATAGGCATCGGAACGATTCTTCTTATTGACTCGAAGGATACCAGCCACCAATTGACCGTTGCTCAGAAGGGCGGGCAGGTTCGCCTGAGGCAGATAAGGAGTGAATAGAGTTTTGCGCTGCTGTTGCTGTTGCTGTTGTTGTTGCTGAGCAGACAGCTGTGGCGGAGCGTGTTGGCTAGCCTGCAGACCGCCGAGCCCTTGTCCATTCAACTGACCGCTTTGTTGCTGCAGGGCTTGGAGCTGTGCCAGTTGCAATGGGCTTAGCTGCTGGCCAGCGCCGAACATTTGAGGTGGCGCCATAACAACCTGACCCTGAGGCAACTGGATAAGCTGGGGCTGGGCCGGGTACTGGAAGGAGCCAATAGAACCAATCGATTGATTGATGGACGCACGAGCGCGGTGGCCGGGTTGGAAAGTGCTACCTTGCTGTCCGAAGCTCTTCTGCTGGTCCTGTGCCTGATTCTGATTGTTAGGCTGACGCCAGTTACCGTCGAAATTTCTCGATGAGGTGCGTGCATGGCCCGGCTGGCTTCCACGTCGTTGGTTCTCAGACTGCCCCCCAATGTCGCTAGATTGCGGAAATTGAAAGCCACCCATACCGCGTCCGGACAGCGATCCCCGGGAGTTGCCGACAGCGACGGATTGACTGCGACCATGGGCGCCAGCCCGAATGTTGCCGGCGCGGTGCAGACCAAGCCCCTGGGGGGGTTGTGGTGTGGTCGAGGTCGGTTTATCCTCGGAGCCTGATAGGTTCTCAGAGCTGCCCCCAGCGCCTGGGGCGGGGAATTGAAAGCCGGATGCTGTTCTCTTTTGCTGAGCTAGCTCCGCGGCCTTTTTAGCTTCGGGTAAAGCAAGCGAATGACGACGTTGGTGACCACCACCACCTGGAGGCCCCCGATTACGGCCATGGTTATTGTTTTCCTTCTGCTGAGGGTTACCCTGCTGGGCGTTGTAATCAGTGTATCCGGAGGCGCCTGAGGATGGGGCAGGTGGTGGGCCCATGGGCAGACCGGGAAGTGCGGATTGATTGCGTCGGTGCGAGTGCTGATTAGGAGTGTTCATGGGTACGCCAAGCTGTTGTTGAGCTAGCTGGGGAAACTGGAAGGCGTTGATCTGAGGGGAAACGCCCCCCATGGACGCACCGCCCTGAAGCGAAGGAGAGAATGCAGAAACCTGGCCCAGTTGCTGCGGCTGTAAAAGTCCCATGTTGACATACTGTTGATGTGTCGCCGCAATTTGTTGCTGTTGCTGCTGAAGCAGCTCAATCTGTTGCTGAATGGCCAGTTGTTCCACTATTGTCAAAATCGAATTGTCAGCGAATAATTGT